GGTTCAGACAAGATTTGACCAACTCAACTTGATTGACGAAAAGCGCTTGGAAGCCATTTGTCATGGCCAGTTGTACCCACAGAGGCTGAAAAGAGAATTTGACAAAAATATTCATCCTCAGAAGTTTTATCCTGGTGATTTGGTCTTGAGAAAGGTTATCGTGTAAAGCCATTCTGATCCAAGGGGCAAATGGACTCCAAATTACGAGGGGACCGTATATTGTGAAGAGAGCCCTTTCAGGAGGTGCTCTAATCCTGACAGACATGGATGGGGAAGACGTTCCACTCCCAGTTAATTCAGACTCAGTCAAAAAATACTATGTATAAAGGCCCTGCTAAGTTGAAAACCCGAAAGGGAGACTTAAGCAAAAATGGGCATCCCGGTGGACATAAAATTCCAGGAAAAAATTAGTAATAAAATGAAAAAAAGATAATAACCCGCTAAGTAGAAAACCAAAAAGGGTGACTTAGGCAAAAAGGGGTATCCTATTGGATCGAAAACCCGAAAGAGCGATCCAAGCAAAAGTTAGGGATCATAGGCGAGAGGTTGTAGTATGAATTCTCTTCACGAATAACGCATGAACATGTATAACACCTTGGCAGTGAATTGACCAGTCCAACTACTACTCTTCATAGGAAAGGCATTGAGACTACTAAAGATATGTGAATTGTAGCAATATCGGTTTTAATGAAAATTTGATCATCTCTCATTGCCATTTGTACCTGTTGTAATTTCCATTTCTTTCTCGCAACTACCTCATGTAGGAGTTGCATCCTTGTATAAATTCTTGTTCATAGGCCCATCACTAAAGTTTGTTTTCATCAAAAAAGTTGTCTTTTATTATCATAAAATGTTTTTCGTATATGAAATGTGTTTTGTTCATTATTAAACATTGCATTAGAAACATGGGGAATAAAATTTCCCAAGCTAAGATAAAACTTGACTTTACATTTATGTATAACTATAAGGGAATGTCGTATGCATTCCAAGTGTTATTTTTCTTTGTAGGTAGCGTCGTCACCCTGACCTAGCCAACGCACGAAGCCGCCTTCATCTACTACAGACAATTTCAAACCTAATTCCCCAAGTGAATTCAGAAATCCCATAATCGTTGTTTGACTTGGCACATACAAGTGTACGTCCTCCGAAAGCTAAACCGGGGCATTCGGGCAGCTGAATCAGGACATCCCTAGTTGAGTAAACCGGGGCATTCGTAGACGTCTGTTTCCATCTTTTTATCCTCAGGTGATTCAATAGGTGATTTCCTAGTGTGACATAAATTTTGGGCATGTATTTGAAGAGGTCTACATGGTGTACAATATCCATTCTTTGGCATATTCAATCCCACCATCCTCTCAACTGTTCAGGATGGAGAGAAGTCGGGCTAGAGTATTTCTTCCCCAACAATGCAATTCAGAATTCAGTGATGTACCTGTAAACTTGCTCCGTTAGCAATTCAATCTTCAGAAGAGTCATCGATAATCTTCGGCATCATGAGCTCCTCAGTGCGAATTCTTATTAGTATCCCCAACAATCTTTGGTACTGCAGGTTTCCGGTGCCGACATGTATTGGCATCCCCACTGATGAGCAACAGTTCCCAATGATCCTTCACTTATCTCCATGAAGTCTATTTCTTTGCATTTTCATATAGTTATCACTCCATAATATTGCATCCTCAAAAGCGCGTAGCCGATCCATCAGAATGGATTTTTGCGTCAAAGGAAATCCAAATATGCATACAAAGCATAAGCCAGATCAGGTACCTTACACAAAAGACCCGAATCATTCAAGGACAATAATCTCCACACGATGACATCTCTCCCAATCCCTAACTTATGACCTTCACCTTCACAATTCCCAACTAACGGTGCTGGTACCTTGTACCTTAAGTTCTCTGCAAAATCAATACACATTGTCATATAAACCCAGTTCCTGTCTGGTAGTCAGTTCCCGTTTAACGATCAATTCTAAACCCAGTTCTCGTCTGGTAGTCGGTTCCCATCTGAGAAATAATTCAAATTCCAACACTCATCTATGTCAGTCTTCCAACACTCATCCGTGTTTAACCTTTCTTCGATACTCGTCTGTATCTTCTTTCAATACCCTTTCGTATTGATTAAAACACTCGTCTGTGTTAAAAAATTCCTTGATACTCTTCTGTATTGATTCAAACACTCGTCCGTGTTTAACCTTTCTTCGATAATAATCCGTATCTTCTTTCAATACTCATCCGTATTGATTCAAACATTCGTTCGTGTTTAACCTTTCCTTGATACTCGTCTGTATCTTCTTTTAATACCTGTCTGTATTGATTCAAACACTCGTCCGTGTTTAACCTTTCCTTGATACTCGTTTGTATCTTCTTTCAATACCCGTCCGTATTTATTCAAACACTCATCCGTGTTTAACCTTTCTTCGATACTCATCCCTATCTTCTTTCAATACTCGTCCGTATTGATTCAAACACTCGTCCGTGTTTAACCTTTCCTTGATACTCGTCCGTATCTTTTTCAATATTCGTTCGTATTGATTCAAACACTCTTCCGTGTTAAACATTTACTTGATACTCGTCCGTATTGATTTAAGCACTCGTCCATGTTTAACCTTTCTTCGATACTCGTCTGTATCAATTCAAACACTCGTCTGGGTTATCCTTTCCTTGTATTGGCATCATGATACATTACAAGTTCGATATCTTACTTTTATTAGCATCATGCTACATCAGAAGTCCAATCTCTTCCTTGTATTGGCATCACTCCACGTTACAAGTCCTCTCTGTCCTTGCATTGGCATCATGCTGCCTTCCAACACTCGTCGTGTCAACTTTTAAATTATCGTCGTGTCAGCTTCTAAATTCTCGTCATGTCAGCTTCTAAATACCCGTCGTGTTAATTTCTAAACACTCTTCGTGTCAATTTCTAAACACATGTCATCGTCAACTTCTAAACACTCGTCATGTCAGTTTTCAAGTACTCTTCGTATCTACTTCTAAACCCCATATCGGTATCGTTTCCATATTACGAGCAATCACCTTCCAGGTTCATCCATAAACCCTTCTCAACAAAAAGAAAAATTCTTTCCCCAGCAGATATAAAATAGGGGCAGCTGTAATACCCCAAATTTGTCCTACCCTTTTACTTTTATCTGGTTTATGCATCTCACACTTTTCTCATGTATATAATTTCCATTAGGTCATCAAACACATCATGCATCATTAATCAGTAAACTTGGTATGGGAACATGGATATTATGGAATTGGGGCGGTTGTATGGCTTTAAGGCCCTCATCTTCGCACAAGCTTGTTTTGGTTGATTTCTCCATCAACCATTTGTTTGAAGCTAGGGTTTTATTTCCTGGACTTCTTTATCATCAAGCTATAAGGATATTCTTTCTTCTCAACATCAAGTTGCAATATTTCTTCAAGGCTTAAGAATTATGGTTTTCATCTATTATGCTTCAACTAGAGATCATTGGATTAGGGCTCGATCTTATGGTTATCTTGAACCTCTCTTTCTTCAACATTTGAGCTTGTTAATCATATGAAGATTAATTTCATGAATTTTTTTTTGTATTACAAGTCATGTTATTTGGACTTTGTTTAAAGGCTATGAAGTTATACAAGGAAGTTATTGAGAATTATGGAGCGAGGATTATCTTCTTGTATTTACGATTATCAGTTGAACTAGGGTTTATTTTCCTACTCATGTGGAGATCAAAGGATTTCTTTCGGGTTCCACTGGGATTCATGTCATCTTAAGGATTTAGTTCATCATGAAAATACATGAGTCTTTGGTTCATAATTTATTGTTTGGAACGCAAGTCATCTCCTCAGTTATCATACAAAAGCTTGGTGCATATACGATATAAGCTTGATACATACAAAGGCTATATGTATGCACGGTATAGTTTTAAGGAATTGGATCATTTCAAGAGGATTGGGCTTTCATATGTCATTATAAAAAGGTTATAGCACTACATCTTATTACATAACAAAATGATCATCATCAACATCATTACAAAAGCAAAATAAAGGAATTAAGGAAGATCATTTTAAAGTTAAGGAGTTCACTTTAAACGCGGGATTTATCATTAAATTCCAAAAAGGTTACAAGAGGGGGTTCACTTTAGAAGTTTGAAGAATACTTCATTTGAATTTGAGGAGTTCTAAATTCAGTTCTTCTACAAAACTATTTCACCATAAAATGTCAAATGACATTACAAACACATTACATTAAACCTATGACTTAATCTTCAGCTATCACCTCCTTTGCCAAACCTCCATGAACTCCATATTTTAGGCCTTTCTCCAAGCTTCTAAATCATGACCATGTTCAATTCTCAAGCTATGCCAAAACCTGCAAGTATAAGTCATACAATGCCTAAGATTCAATACATTTCACTTTAAGACATTATTCATTTAATGTGAAGAAATATCAAAACCATTCTAGCTCATTCAATAATAACTTAACCATAAGCCAATTAATAACTTCAGCCCCGCAAAAACACATCAAAGTTGAAGTAGTTTGCAGTTTATATAAGACCAGATGAAAGAATCGAAACCGAGATATTGCCTAACAGTTCAGGAGCAGCCCTTCAAACTAACAACCCTACAAACTGACTTATAACAGAGTTTCAAACAGCTCAATAACAGAAAACAAACCCAAAACCTGCAATTAATTTTCATAATTACACACTCCCTACCTGATTCCCATTGTATAGTTAATTTCTAACTGATGCCAGCTCAGCATAACTATCCTCTCTAACCAAAACCTAACTGCTCTAACTGCAAACAAAAAACCAATCCTCTAACTTCCTAACCATCCTAACTAACTTCACAAACTCTAATAACCCCTAACTGAAGCTGTAACTAATTGCAAACCTCTTAACTACCGTAACAAAAATTTTCTCACCATTTTAACTGCCAACTCCTAACCAACTTCCAACAAGCTCCTAACAGACTTATACAAAAGGTAGATAACATAATTCAGAAAAAAGGACGATGAAACAGAAAGAGATAACAAATTTGAAAAACAGAAAGAAGGTACAAAATATCAGAGGAGAAGGAGCATCAGAGAACATCTCCAAATTTTCGTCAGTTAAATCCACGCCATCTGAATCTCTAACTAATTCTCCAAATCTATTTCTCAGAACTATTTCTCATGTAACCAACTCTAACAGAGTCTATAAAGGCACTCTCACCTAATTCATACGATTTTCTCTACTAGAACTTCTGGGAAGTGTCACCATTCGTGAAAGATTGTCTTCTCTTTCTGTTTTGATACCTATGCATCAACCATCCATTTACATATATTCTCTAAATACTTCTCTCCTCACTCTTCTTCGGGGACGCTTGGTACCTATAGCATCGATCTTCTTCAAGCTTCTACACCAACTCTCTGTCAATACATCATCATTCTTATCAGTTCTTTTACACCTCTCATAAACATCTTCATTCTGAAACTGAATTCTCTGCAACTCACATCAACGTCACAATGTTAGAACAAGGATTTCCCGACATCAATAACGACGATATACATAAGCAGAAGAGAGAGTGTGGATCGGAAAGAAGAAATGAGAATCGCAAGCATACCTGAATACCTCTTCTAGATTTTTGTTGTTCGTTGCCGACATCGAAGACGCACCAGACGAATTCCGGTAGGTAAACGGGGTTTCAATCTCTTTTTTATTTGTTTTTGCGTTGAGTTGCTAGAGATTTTAATTGATTATGCGCCGGAGTATCACCGGGATGATGAGAGGTTGAGAGCAAGGCAGCGAATTTAAGAGAAACTGAAGAAGAACAAAAGCCGAAGTTCACGTGAGAATGAGACGGAGGGATGATTGAGGATGAAATTTATAGTTACATCGACGCCGTTTGAAGAAGGGAAATAGAAGAGAGTGGACGCCGCGAGAGAGAAGAAGAAGGTTATTTGAGAGGTTTGAGAGTCATTAGCTAACCTTATCTCAACTATCCGAAACAGCATCGTATTGCTTTTCCTTCCCTTTCAAATTTTATTTATTTTTACTTATTGAAACAAAAATATGATAAGAGGTGGACCGGACCATACCTCTCCTTTAGGTCCTTTTGATTTTTTTCTGAAGCCCGTGCTGGTAGCAAATAAAGTACTTTGGAATTTTATGTGTTGGGCATGTGCTTGATTTCTGCCTTAAGCCCATTGTGTTTTTGAAAGGTTGATAACAAGAACAAAACAAAAAGCAAGCATTGGATCTTATTTTGATGGATCTAGCGCCCTGCTCCTGCATCACCTCCTGACTTCAATTCTCACCCCCTGAGTTCCTCTATGATTTTTCTTTTAATTTTACTAAATATTTTTATTTGTTCGATTTTTCTCCACACGATAAATAATATAAAAACATTAATAAAAAAATAGTATAATATAATAGATTTTTTAGGAATTAATTCTTTAGTTTTTCTCACGTAAAAAACTAATAAAAATACTCCTATTTCTTTTAGTTTTATCCATATTTTCGTACCGTCGTGCCTCGTTATTTCTGACGCGTTTATTCATTGTGCAAGGTACATTTTTATGATTTCTATCATTTAACATAATAAGTATTATATAATCAAAGCATATGACTTATACTCGCTCCCGATGCGACGCACGTTATTTCTCATTGTCTTGAGAAATTCATATTATATTATATATGGTCCTGATACATGTGATATTTTATGAGCTTTGTGCAGGAACTTCCGATTATGTGTTATATTCGCAATAAGTTTAGTTGGATATTGTTTCTGACTTTGTTTGTTTCTTGGTGAAGCTTGCTCGACGTGTATTCCCTACTTCTCCATTGCTTTCGTCCTCTCTTGACGATTTGCTCGCTTTTGGTAGTCGCCGCTATTACCTTCGTACTTCTTCGCACTTTACTACATTTCTTTACCGTTTTTCTAGATATCATGAGAAGTAGGGCTATACTGCTTTCTGATGCCATGAGAAGTAGGGTAGAGATGTATGACGGGGGACTCGGTTGCTGATCATGTCAGGAACCCCTCTGGTTTATTTAAAGACCCATTTAGGGAAATTCCGCATTGTGTGCATTCTATTTGCTACTTGTTTGTGGTTTGTTTAAAACCATACCTTTGTGTAGGTATTCTGCAGGTGTGTTTATATTTATACCCGCATTATTCCCCCATCCCTTATTGAAGTCCTCAAAAGTAGGCGAGCAGGGAGGGTTAGTAATCGACCCCCATAATTTCGTCTGTGTCATCCTTAGCTCGTGAAGCACCATGATGCTTCGGAGTTATGCTTGCTCATGTGTATCGAGTCGTCAAGTGGGTAAGGGTTCTGCAATCGAACCCCCACGCTTTGTCAGGTGTTTGCATTGGATGATGCTGATAATCTGTAATTGTTCATATCGTCTTCTGTCGCCTACCTTGATCTCTTATATCTTGGTTAAGTGTTCAGTCGCTTTGGACATCACATTTTTGTTTTAAATCTCACTCCCACTTGTTTGTCTCAGGTGATATGCTCCCCTTGGCTAAATCATTTCGCTTCTTTTCCTTACTATTTTATGTGTATGATCTTTCGAGCTTGCTTTCTTTATCCTAGTACATACCATGTTCCCTTAGGATGTGCTTGCTCCTTTCAGACGCAAGTTAGACCTTAAGTTGAAAACCATGCATGCTAACATGAGGTAGAAATTTCCCTTTTGTTAATCTAAATCATAGGGCCACCATTGTATGATAACATTAGGTTAGATATATGATAGTCTCCCTTAGACTCTTTTCTCCCCTTTTGCATATGCATTCTAAAACTAAAACTCTTTTTCCTTAACAAATCGTAAAACATGATAATCACACTTAACCCCTTTTCCAAGGTAACAAAACACAAACTAATCAAATGCGGAATCTTGCCTCAAAGGTGTAACCCGAAACCATTTTCAAGCAAGGACATGATTAATTTACTTATGTGCCAACACATAAGTCTCCAAAGGTCGAGCTGTGGCAGAAGGCGAAATTAACATTGCCCATAAAAAAATACAAAATAAACAAAAACATGTGAGCCGAACTACGATAGCTCTAATTCATCAAAAAGGATACGTAGGCATTGTGGTAGGGCTCGAGCAAGTACAACTTTATTTTCCCTACATTCTTTTCTCCTTTCTTTTGCATGCATGCTTCCTCAGTAGTAAACAACAAGCATAAATTAGACACGCCCATAAGATAGATAATAAGAGTGGATACCATAGAGTACTACGGACGCGTGGGGTACTAATACCTTCCCCTCGCATGACAAACTCTTTTACCCGATTTCTCAGTCGCAAGATCGTGACTTATCCCTTCTCAGGTTTTCTTGATGTTTACCTTTCCCTTTATGTGGGATAAAAGATGTTTTTTGGAGACTTCATTGTTTGATGATTTTCAGCCGGTTGTTTCAGTCCTCAAGACCAAGTGCTGACAACTCTAAGGACGCAGCTCTTAAGACTCCGAAGACTTGAAGCTCTTCTGATCCAAGGATCTCTACAACAAGTTCTCACGACCAAGTTCTGAAGACTCTAAAGACGCATTTCTGAAGACTCTAAAGACTTGAAGTTCTGAAAACCTTATGTTATGTTCCTGCTTCTAAACTCATGCTCGCATAAGCCTATGAAGTACAGAAGGAAAGAATATAACAGTAACATGGTATAATAGTACACATTATGAAAAAGCCTTATTCCACTACCTCTCCACTAACTTGAATTATGGAAGAGAAAAGGACGTAGTAGTACTATTTATAACGACTATTTTTCAAACAGCCAACGACTCTATTTTTTTTGCTATATAAGAAAAGAATCGCATGTTTAAATGTGTGCATAAGTTTTAAGTCGCAAGTTACTAGTTGCAACATTGTTAGTGCTCAATATTAAAATGAAAGTTCTCATTATTGGAACACAACCAAAAACCTATCAATAACTATAACAACAACAAGAACAACTATTATAAAAATGATTCTTCAATCATGTTGATACTGATTACAATGAAATCATTTATTCACAATGTGCTTAATTTCATATGTTGTACAAAGCTTGCTAAGCCGCAGAAGATAAGGAAGATGATCATGAAAGCTCCAGTTACAAATCCACAACACATATGTTGTGCTCTAAAGTGATCATAGAAGAAAATGGAATAAGGGCTGATGTCCATAATGTTATAAAGTAAATCAAGATGAAGAAGTTATTCTCTTTACCACATCAAGATCAACAAAGCTTTCATAAGCTTATGAAGAAGAAGACTTCAGTGATTCAAGTGCTTTGGGCTGTTTTCCATGAAAAAGCTACTTGAAGAAAAGAAGACCACGCATTAAATGACAATACAATGTAATATCTTTTAGTGTGGATTAGGTTCTTCTAATGTACTTAATTTTGTTTACATCCAGCTTATGGAGAAGCATTATTATTGTAAACAAATGTAAATCAAACAGTTGTTTGATGGTTCCTTGAGAGACTCGGTTGAGTCAGGATTCTCAAGAAGACTTTGGTTGCGGTCATCGTAGATGAAATCCCGGTAATGGATTCTAGTAGGTTAGTGGTAGTCATATCTCAAAGGGGACTGGGTGAAAGTCAGATTTGTAAGATCACTGATGGATATCATTGGAAGGAAATCCTAGTAGGAGATTATGAGGGTTGGATTCTATTGGGTTAATGAACGTTATATCTAGTCTGGATCACTAAACATGTCATTATATGTGAGTTACCGGAGGTTTCCCATGCGATCTTAATCAGATTTGTTATAGTGTATTAAGTCATTGAGTTCAAGGAGAAATTACCTTGGAAGGGTGGACTGGACTAGCTTGGGGGTTTCTCAAGTAAACCAGGATATATCGCGTGTTCTTTACTTTTGCTTATGCTTTAGAGTTTATGTTTTCTTAACTTAATTAGAAGCATTACTTAGAAGTAACACTCAGAAGCATTTTTCAACCAATAATGCTTAGAAGCTAAAGTTACTCAAGAAAGGAAAACCCAATTCAACCCCCCCTCATTCTTGCATTTTCTTCACACCTTTAAATTCATCATACGAGCCTTCCAATAGTCATAATGATCCATCAAGAATGGGTGGTCTGTTCATAAATCCTTCTTCCTTGTCCATTACACCAGAAATCATCTTCCCTAAATCTCACCCAGATATAAAGCAGGATGCCTGCTCTGATACCAATTGAAATTCTAGTATGCAGATATCAGATGTCTTATCAGATGTCTAGACAATGTAATCTGATCAAAACACAATGGTAATATAAATACAGATAAGATTACTTGAAATTAAAGGAACACACAGAGTTGTTAACCTAGTCCGGTGTATAACAAAACATATATTTGGGGGCTACCAAGCCATGGACGAAATCCACTAAATAGCATGAGTCTATAGACCTTTAGTGTGATCGGTGGATCTGGAACTGACTGTTTAACGCTGGTTCGTGAAATATCGCGGAAGCAAGAGTCGCCACCGTCTTTTATTTTCTCCAATATGGAAAGGATAAAAGCACAGAAAAATTCCTTATTGAGATTAGTTCTCGGTTCGGGAGGTAGATTTATAGAAAGGGAAGGTGTTAGCACCCTTTCTATCCATGGTTATCCATGGGCTCTTAGATACTTGCTCATTTGTGTTTTCAAAATGTTTGTTTGCTTTTCAAGTGTGAGTGGGTTTGAAAAAGTTTCTTTGAAAGTTTCAGAATAACTCTTGTATCAGTCCTTAAGAGTGTTTGAAAAATTGTTTTGAAAGCTTTTTGAAAGTGTCGGTGTGAAAAGAGTTTTTTGATTTGTTTTTGAATAGAGCAAGTATCTACGAGTCATCTACCTACCCTACGGAATTAGGCTGTGTAAATGTCTTTAAGGTAGTGCCATCCCACCATTGAGAGGTAGGTAGCACCACCGTTGGAGGTGTTCGGGTCAATTCGAGTTTAGGGACAGGGTGGTCACCAGAGCAATAGTAGGACACCTTAGAAGCTACCCCCATGCCATGTTCATGGACATGAGGACTTACTAAAAC